TAGGGTTTCTGGTCGACCAACAGAAAGAAAGAGAGTGAGGGGGGCGGCAGAGCTAAAGTCACCAGAAGCGGCACAGACTCTACAAGCCGGCAATCATGGGGCGTATGCACAGCAGAGGGTTCGTTCTCTTCTTATTTTCTAAACAAGGCTCCTTGAGCCGTCGATTTAACTGGGATTTGATCCATTTTTCTTGGTGGTTTTTGTGTTTTATGGTGTTTTGCAGAAAGGGTATTTCAGCTTCAGCTTTGCCGTACAAGAGGACCCCACCTAGCTGGTTGAAGATCTCAACCCAGGATGTGCGAAAACCCCGACTCTTTAACTCTTGAATGAATTTGAGTTGTTTTGGGTTTTGTTTGGTTGATGAGAAAATGGGTTGCGTTTAGATTTGTTTGGCTGATGAGAAAATGGACTAAAGTTTGAATAGTTAGCTCAATTTTGTTCCCCATTGTTGGAAAATCTATGTTGATACCCAATTGGTCTTTGATTGTAAAAGATGTAAAATGAGTTTATGATTTCATTTATGGGTATTTTTTTAATATTAATTTTGGCAACCAGGCAGTATTTAATTGGTTAATCTGTTTTTCTGTGTTCTGTTTCTGTTGATTGATTGATGAAGAAATGTAGTGAGAAAAAAATAGATTTTGATATCATAATGTTGGTCTAAAAATAAAAGCTGAACAATTTTTATTGTTAACTAGTGTATACCTTTGTTTAGCTGACCTCACTTAGTGGGATAAAGCTTTGTTGTTGTTGTAGTATATACTTTTGTTTCTTATAGTCTGCTACTGCATTGTGATGTAGTTAACTTATATTATCTGTGTTTATGTATCGCTTATCTAACATTGAGAACCGTAGTAACTGTTCCTTTTGTTTGGTTGTAGTTCCATGGTTTTTTCAATTGTATAGTAATCTTCGAGTGTATTTTCTGCCCATGGTCACTTAATCAATTTTGTTTGGCCTCTTAATACACAATAAACGGTGACACAACTCTGTGTCTGCTTCATGCCTTTTCCCATTTAATCTGCGTTGCTGAATAGAAATTTGGTTATTTTTTGAACTACTGATTGTTCAAGGGAAATAATTTCTTACTGCAGTAGACCTAAAACTTAAATTTGTGTCTTGTGCATTTTGGCTTAATTGCTTATCTGGTTGTTTTTTGCCTTTTAGGTTGAGGAGAACATCTGCAAGTTTGCGAAAAAGGGTCTGACACCCTCTCAAATTGGTGTTATTCTTCGTGATTCTCACGGTATTGCTCAGGTGAAGAGTGTCACTGGAAGCAAGATCTTGCGTATTCTGAAGGCTCATGGTGCGTATCTTGAATTTATTTTCATGATAACATATATTTTTGTAGGAAAGAAATTTTGAAAATGATATCTTATATTTTCTTTTGGTGTGGGTAGGTCTTGCTCCTGAAATTCCTGAGGATCTTTACCATCTGATCAAGAAGGCTGTTTCAATCAGGAAGCATTTGGAGAGGAATAGGAAGGACAAGGATTCTAAATTTAGACTGATTCTGGTTGAGAGCAGAATCCATCGCCTTGCTCGTTACTACAAGAAGACAAAGAAGCTTCCACCAGTCTGGAAGTAGTAAGTACCTTTTCATTTTAGGATAAATTTTTCCTTTGTCACAGAAAATTTAATTAATCATAGGTTTCAGTAATCTTTGCACAGTAAGTTAAGGCTGCGTAGGTTAGACGTTCCTTCCCCCCCCCCCCAACCCAAAAAAAAGACTGCATGACTCTCACTTGGCTTGGGGTTGCCCTTTTTAGGATTTAGTAATCTCTCTTGAAGATGCGCACACGGTTCATTGCACTCAAACACTTCAAATAATTATCAGAGTAGTTGAGTTTGGAAGAAGTTAAATAGTGGGTAGTGCTTTTTGAATCTTACTAGTTCCCATTGACTTAGCTCTCTTGAACAAATTGTGTGTTGTATTGCATATGGGTAATTTGTTTTCTGCGTTTCCTACATATTCAAAATTGGAAAAACTTTTTATACGTGGGAATCTAATATTGGTTCCCATGATGAATGAAATGTGTGAGTCATGTCAAATAGCATTGTTTTGGTTTTCCTTCTGGTTCATATTTATGCTTGTTATAGCGTGGCATATGTATCATTGTTAGGCTGAAGCGGACCTTTCTATGAAATCGTTTTCGTTTCCTGACTTCTCTACTATAAGTTTAATCCCAACTGTCATTTCTTATGCGTTTAGCGTTGCCTGAACATGTCTTCCGCAATGAAATTGTAGTGGCTACCTTGAATGTTTATATCTTTCTTCTCTTGTTTGCAGCGAATCTACCACCGCCAGCACTCTCGTGGCTTAGGAAGGACGTGATTGGCAACAGTTTTCGGTGCTCCTCTATATGTACTTTTAGGAGAGTAGTACTTGAGTTTTAATGTCGTATTTTCTTTTATTTGCTTCAAGTTGGGGAACTTAATATCTTGTGGAACACTCGTTCGTTGTTGATTTGCCTTTTGGATATTATGTCGAACTATTTAGGATTTGTTTGGTACTCTACTTGAATCTAACTTTTTAAACTCAAAGCAATTTTCAAGATTTAGGCCTTAAAAACTTGTTTGGTAGGATTATTTTAAAAATCTAAACTCAAAACTAATTAAAAAATATAGTCTATTATCTAAAAATATTAAAAGTAAGTTTTTAGAGTTTTTAAACTCAAAAACTCTTTTTTTCATCTCCATTCTCCCCTCTCACTCAATCTCTATTTTCTTCTTTCTCTCTCCTCTTATGTTATTTATTTTTTTGACTTTTTTCGTTTCTCTTTCAATCCGCTTTCTTCAATATCTTGGTTTTTGATCTCATTCAGTCCTTGTTATCTTGTTCGATCCTCTTTGTTCTTTCTTTCCTTTAATAATCTTTTACTTTCTTTTCTCCTTTCTCCTCTTTTTTCCTCTCTTGCGACCTCCTATTTTTAGATCTTTTTATCTAATTTAAATCGCAAGCCAATCAAGTTTTTGAGTATTGAAGAAAATTATTTTCAAGAAATGTTTTTAAGAAATGTTGAGAAATGATAAGTTTTTTTTAAATAGGATACTAAACAAGCTTTTAAGTTTTCCCTTTATTTATGTGCATTTTTGTTTAGGGAGCACCCCTAATTTCTATAACCCAATTTAAAAAAAAAATAATTTCACTCCTTTTATTTCTTCACAGTTCACAGCCCTTCAGTTTTGGTCATTTGATTTAATAAATTAAACATAAAGAAGGGATAAAATTTAACAAGGGGGTGTGATAAGTTATTAAGAGTCCACATCTAAGGTGCGTTTACGAATCTGTAATCAAATTGAGAGGAATTAAATTGAGGAGGAATTGGATTGAGGAAGAATTAAAATGAGGTGAATTCAAAATCAGATTTCTGTTGAAGATGTTTACTAAACTGTCTGGAATTAGATTGAGAATGATGCAGATTCCATAATAGCTGTTTACTAATTTAGCTGAATTGGAATAAAAAACAATTTGATTACTAAAATACCCTTGTACATAAACAAAATTTTAATTTTTTAATTTTATTCAATTAGTTTGTATATATAAAACTAATACAATTATTTACCCTAAAAAATTAAGAAATATTTATTAATTAAACTACTCAAACTTGTGTGCTTCAATAAACATTGGCAAAATGGTTCAGATCAAACTGAAGCGCGATAATTACCTATCGTGGAAGTCTTGCCAGTCGGAGTCTGGTTTGACGACAATCCCGGTCTGTGATGGTGGTGGCGTTGGGGAAGTTTTGCTGGTCCAAGATCAGAAATAGAGGGACAGAAACAGGTTAAAGGGAGGAGAAGATAAGGGTGTTTTGGGTAGAAAAACCTGATTCCGGATGAAGGCTTTGTCCCGAAATCCGAATACTAGCTAATGTTCGGTAGTCTGATTCCGGGAATATCAGGAATTGGAATGCTGATTTTGAGTGGACCCCGCGTAAATTTTTATTCCCAAACGGATAGTAGACGCCGGAGTCTATCGGAACGAGTGCAACTCCCATTCCCCTTGTTCCATTCCGGTTTCGTAAACATGCCACTAAATTCTTACGGCTGAAGGAAGTCACTGCTAAGAACATGCATGCAATTGCCATTATCCAAGGGGACAATAAGAAAGAGAAATTTAGAGAAATGCCCTTTTAGTAGACCCGAGAAGACTTGCTCTCAATTTTAAAATTCTTGGATCATCTCCTTAGAGAAGTCAAAACATTCACATCAACAATAACATTAATAAAAGATATTGCTAATGTTTTTTAACGAAATGTTAATTCCTATATGGCATAATGGCAGCAGAGGGGTTGCTAATTCTTTATTTTTTAAATCAATGAATTGCTTCGTGAATAGACATCCTACAATGCTTTGTGAACATGCTACAATATTTTGTGTTTCAACATAAATTCTACAATGCTTCGTGGACAAAAATATTCTTAGAGGTGATGATTATTTAGTTGGATTTTTATTTCTTCTATTTTCGTTTTTGTTGGATTATTTGTATTAGTATTCTGTTGTTAGAATTATTTATATATATAAAACTTAAAATAATAAAACAAATTAAGAAAAGAAAATATGTAATAAAATAATAATTTAATTTGACATATTAATTGGAGAGCGAAACTTTAAGAGATGTCAAATTGTCACATAGGAATTTGACATCTCATTTGGAGATGATCTTAGAACACTACCCCCTTTTTACATGTCAAAGGACTTAATTAACTTTTTAAGATTTAGGCCCACATTTTTTTTACCAAAAACTGCTTTACTTTAAAGTTAAGTAGTAAAAAAGTGTTTATTAAAAGTAAAATATCCTGCTTATTTTAAACGCAATGACCTCCAGATAACAGCTTTTAAAAGCAGCCTGCATGTACCATTAAAAGCTGTTTTAATAAAAAGCTGAGTTGTGCCTTTAATAAATGTTTTCAATTATTATAACACCTTTGTCATTTTTTTTGAAAATAGCATATTTACAGTTCCACCCACATTTTATCTCTTAGAGAATAAAGTGATCGTTACCACCTCCGACTACCATTGTTGCCACAGTCACCACCATAACCACTACCTCCACTATTGTGACCACAACAACAACCGCCTTCTACCACCATTGTCACCATCATCATCACCATTACTGCAAACGCCGCCACCTCTGTCACCACAACCATAACCGCAACCACAATTTTCATTACCACCATTGTCACCACCATCATTGTCGCCATCCCCACCACCAATGCCACCACCACAACCACAACAACCACCATTACCACCGCAACCACAATTACCATTACCACAATTGTCACCACCATCATTGTCGCCATCCTCACCACCAATACCACCACTAATACCACCACCACAACCACAACTGCCACCATTGGCGGTACCATCGCCTCTACTCCCATTGTTACCTTTGCACCCCAATATCACATCCCACTATTGGCATCACCACCGTACCTTCACCATTGCTGCTACCATCACCACCACTGCAACACACCACCACTACCACCATTTTCCCCGCCACTATTGTCGTCGCCCCCACTGCTACTACTATGTCCATTTTGTCATTGTATACAATTGTGTCATTTTTGCATTAAAATTTATCAAAAACTTTTACACTGCTTTTCAATCTCACAACACTTTTAAATAAAGTTAACCAAACACTCATCTATTTTACTTTATAGCTGATTATTCTTAAAACACATTAGGAGCATATTTTTTTTAAAACACAACAATCCCAAATTGACCCTTAATAGCCTTTAACTCTTATTTGAATACTAGGAACCATCGCAATCTTGTCTTTCTCCACTCACAACGACAATCAAACCAAAGAAAAGGCAAATTCCGACATCGTACTTCGTGTATTGACAAACGCCTTGTTGTATTTCTTTTTCACAGATTATTGGCTTGCTAATGAATTATGCAACTGCCTGTCAACACAAAAAAGAAAGATTTAGCAAGAAAACTAAGTAAAAGTAGTGACACATATTAGAAGCCAACACACATAAACTCCATCAAAGAATACAACAACAACAACAACAAAGCCTTATTCCACTAAGTGACGTCGGCTCTATGAATCCTAGAATGCTACTATGCTCAGTTCTGCATCAAGTTTTTCTTAGCTCAAAGTATGTCTTTTGTTAAAGTCTCTTTTCAAATCTTCCTAGGTCTTCCTCTACCATTTTTGCCTTGAGCATTTGTCTCATAATCCCATTTTCTAACCGGACCATCTATAGGTCTTTGTTTCACATGTCCAAACTACATTAACCGACCTTCTCTCATCTTATCTTTACCTTACCTCGGATATCCTTGTCCTTAATCCTATCATTTCTTTTGTGCTCACACATCCAATGAATCATTCTTGTACATGTTAATGCTTAACCGCCCAACATTCCATGTCGTAAAGCATTGTTTTCCTTATTGCCGTTCTATAAATTTCCCCTTGAGTTTTAGTGGCAACAAATGTCCCACAATACACTTAATGCACTCATTCACTTCATCCATCCATCTTGTATTCTGTAGTTTAGATCTCTATCCAATTCTCCGTTCTTTTGTGAGATAGATCCAAAATAACTAAAGCGTTCACTCTTTGGTATTTTTTTAGAACTTTAATCCTCAACCCTATCTCATTTGGGCCCCAATTCCCACTGGACTTGTACTTCATATACTCTATATTTAACCTAATTAGGTGAAGACTTTTATATTACAACACTTCCTGCCATATGTTAAGCTTCACATTTACTCTCTCATGTGTTTCATGTATCAGTACTATATCATCTACAAAAAGTATACACTAAGGGACTTCTCCAAGCTCCGCTGCCCATGAAAAGGAGAAAAGTCAAAGGTGTTAAAAATATGATTAATAACCAAATCTTCTGTTAAAGCTTTCACAATCAAATTTAATAAAGGATACTATGAGATAATCTTAATATATGATTAATTAAATAATATCTTATGGTAATTCTCTTCTGCATCCAACAAATTATGCACGTCGACAAATGGCATGACAATGCTAAACATGTGGTCAGCTATCCCTCTATAAATACGTCATTCTACACCAATTTCTGTCAAGATTTTGCTAAGCAATTAATCACTAAACTTTCTTTCTTTCTCTTTCTCTTTCTCTTTATCTCTCTCTCTCTTTCTCTCTCTCTCTCTCTCTCTCTCTCTCTCTCTATCTCTCTCTCTATCTTTCTTTCTTTCTTTCTCTCTCTTTCTCTCCCTCCCTCTCTATCTCTCTTTTCGGAGAAACTAACTTAGGCATCAGAGATCCATGAACCAAACCTCCTACTCCATTGGCTCGTAGCTTTGGTCATTGATCATAGTGTGTTTAATTGTTTTGTAGGTACAAATTCGTCAAGATTGAATTCTAGGGGTGGGTAAACAGGTCCTTAGGCCCGCAGGTAGAAGAAGGTACTAGTGATTTAGGGCGGGTCTATATTATTTTCTATACAAACGAGGTGGAGAGGGTCAGGTCTAAGTAAACAGCAGGGTGGGACGGTTCCAATTTTTTGAAGATAAGGGCCCTTGACCTGGGCTGTACCCAATAAACATATACCGCTCAAATCTCACAAAACACACATCTCACTCGAGTCTAACCTCACTCAGTCACTTTCTTGAAAACTCTCCCACACTTAGACTGAATCTTTTCTCTTCATTCATCCCTCTCGTATCTCGATCTCTCTCCTAGAGTCTAGACCAACTTTCATCCCTCTCGATTCTCAGTCTATCTCTGTCGAACTTATAAGGACGAACGACGAAGTCAGTTTCTCTCTTTGTCGAACTTGAGGGGACGTGTGACGAATCAGTCTTATCTCTGTCGAATTTGAGAGAGATTCTTTTTAGAGCTCCAAAGATTTTTCGAAACTCTAAATTGACTATATCCGCCACTTTTTCAGTGCCCTATAGAGCCCCTCATTTGGGGGATGCTCTAAGCATTTTACATTTATCCCCTTTTAAAGTTTTCCATTATTCAAACTTATTTGCTATTGGGTGTCGCAGGTAGGGGTGGGCATGAAGGAATTATTTTGTAAAACATGTTCATTTGAGCAACATCATATAGCATGCAATTAACAATTAAAGGCGGAATCATGCTTACATGCACTCAAATACAAAACATTTACCCATGAAATTCAAAGCCTAGTAGATTGGTGAACCAATAATCAACTTAAAACATGAGTGAGTTGAAATTAATACCTTTGTAGATTCCTCTTTGCATAAGCAAAGGCTAATCACCCAAAGAGATAGGGCCTTCATTCCTTGCTTCTTAGATCCATGGATTTGGATGGAAGAATAGGTTCTCCAAGTTCCCAAAATTGAGAACCTCTAAGTCTCTACACCAAGGAGAGATTGGATGATGAATGAGTGACCTTGGAGGATTAGATGACTAGCTAATCACCTCCAAGGTGTTGGCCTCTTTAGAGAGAAAATGGAGAGACAATTCTCACCCATTTTCCCCAAAAATAAACCCTTATTTTTCACTTAATGAATATTTGGCTATAAAGTCATTTATATAGTCACTTCTTTAAGTGACCTAAATAACCAAAACCCTAATTCATTCCTTATGGCCGGCCATTTAGGGATTTTTGGGCTTTTGGGCTTTAATGAATCTTTATTCATTAAATTGTCATACAACTTAAGTTAATGGGCTTGACGTTCGAAGCCCATTGGGCCTTAAGGTCCAAAACTATCCCGTGGTCTTTAACGAACTTATTCGTTTGATTAATTAACATATTAATTAATCCTTGCCATAAATAATTAAACCATTCAATTAATCTTACTCATTTCATTTATTTCGTCCATCTCTACCTTACACGGTGTACGATCCATTAGGTTCCTTTTAGCGAGGCAGTGGGCGATTAAAACCATTTTACATCGATTGTGAATTGAAACTATTTTCAATTCTCCCTTTAGTGATTACACACGTTTAGGGCTTCCACAAACCATGAGTGACACCTAGCCGTATGTCATGGTTACCCAAGCTAATCAGAAGAGGTGGAGAACCTATTCAGTTCGAGATTACAAATGCAATACGGTCCTTCTCTAATCTAATACTCTTGACCACATTGTTTGGTTTGATAGTTTATTTTCTCATGTCTACTATCCAATGTGTGTTGTGATTATATGATTACCTTGAATGTGATTAGGAACGCATTCCCAAATCTCATTCATACTCTGGCCAGAGATTCAAATCATATCATAGAGTATTCTCCTTCAAACGGTTTGAAGGTTAGAGATCCCTTGTTGCGCATTCACTTGTCTCCATAGCTAAGCGGCTTGACCCCAACGATGCCGTGGACACCCTCCTGGTGGGATGACTTTGACATAATCAAAGATCAAGGTCTTAACCACAAGACAACTATGATGCCTCAGGTCAAAGGACTACTTTGCATTATCCCAACCATGAGTTCTCATGTGACATGGAATATGAGAACTCTTCGTTGATCGCGTTCAGTGAACTCATTCTCTATTGAGCACCTACCGCACTTGTCTTGATGTCACACACACCAATGATTCGAGACTAATCACTCTCCCTGAGAGAAGACATAGTACGTACTGATCTTAACGGACTGTCAACGCCCAATTGGCAATCCTATGATCAGGAACGTTTAGGATGTGTCTACGAAAGAATGGTCTCATGAATCTAACTTCATTAGATTACATTCTCCCAATCACATATTCCTTGGACTTTATCGTTTAAGCATATAACATTTATATGAGACGGCTCAAACAATAATCTTTGCCCTTTATATGTAAAACTAGATTAGTTTAACATGTGAAATGTCCGTAAAGTATCATCACATGATTGGCTTTAGGGCACATTTCCAACAGGGCACGGTGTGATTCCACCCCTAAACCATAATCGGAACTGAGAAATATCAATGGTTCGGTTCGGTGCGGTTCCTTTTAAATTTATTACTAGAACCGTATGGTTCGGTTTACATCGGTTCCGATTTGGTTCTTGCCGGTTTATGGTTCCGAATACTAAATTATTTGAACACCAAATCATCATGCATTCAAATACATCTTCTAAAACTGATTATATAAAAATGCATACAACACATCTTTTTTAATGCAAATGTCTTTGGTAGTGGGACCAAGTCAACAAAAAGAGACAACTACAAGAAATATATATTGGTTAGTCAGTCAACAAACAAAAAAATGAAGAAGCAAACTGCAGGTTTATTTCAAACAGAGAGCAAGCAGCAGCTCCCGTACACAATCAGCAGTTTATGTACATAATCAAACAACTTATTTCAGAGCAAGCAGAATCAAACAACTTATTTCAGAGATGAAGCATGGGCTTCCTCAGTCTTAAAAGTTTGAAGAAGCAAACTGCAGTTGGAAATATGCCCTGAAAATCAATCTTTGGAAGAAACCTTTCAGGACAATAAATGGATGTATA